GTAGCTGGGACTACAGGCACGCACCACCATGCCCGGCTAATTTTTTTTTCTATTTTTAGTTGTCCAGCTAATTTCTTTCTATTTATAGTAGAGACAGGGTCTCGCTCTTGCTTAGGCTGGTCTCGAACTCCTGAGCTCAAGCAATCCTCCCACCTCAGCCTCCCAGAGTGCTAGGATTACAGGCATGAGCCACTGCGCCCGGCCATAAATTTTCTTAAGTAATATATTTTTCAAGTATTTAATCTTAGAATTTCTAAAGCACCTTCCAATTGTGCCCCAAAATTTATCTACAAAGTAGGCACTATCATCACATTTTTTAGAAGTTGCTGAAACTGAGATAAATATCGTGCTGGTTGTGGAGGAAACTGAAAAAAAAATACAGAATTGTTAAGATTAGATTTACTGGCTTAGTTATGTCCACTAACTGAAAGAAAAAGAAACAAATGAGAGTCTTTCAATAGTTCATCATTCAGAATCTGTTACTGTACAGATTTTAAGAGGTTTTGAGTCAGTTCCAGTATAGAAATAAGGCCAAAGTCTTCCTGTGAAATGGTCATTGAAAGTATACAGAAGAGATCTATCATTCAAATTGTAAAAGGAAACCTCACTCATTTCAAAGTCTAAAAAAATGCCAATCTTACTAGGTATTACTTTTGGCAGAAGATTAGCTTTCCTAGGACCCAGTGCAATATAATTACTCTGACTACATCGCCCAATTCCCCATAATCCATTCTTTACCGATATTGGTTGATTCTGACTCTTCTTCCTTCTGGGAAGAGAGTCATCACAGACACCCACAACCCATTCAGGCTTGTCTTTCACTTCTATTTCCCAGTACTGCCTGCCAGACTGATATGCATTAGAACCCAAGACAGCTGGGCAGAGATAAAATCTTCCTGGGTTATGAGGTAAGTTTTGCATTGTATTTCCATATCGCACAGTTTTTCTATCTTCTGAGACAAAAAGTTTACGATGTGCTGTTTCAGGATCTAGAATTACATCTACTTGAAATTGCTTGATGATTTTGTTAAGGCCAGAATATTGTGGAGGAAGATGGTAACCATATTCTTTTAATATGAATGAAAAGGGCTCAGGGCATTTTAAGTTTTTATATCTGTGATAGATACTCTTAATATCTGCCAGTAATTCCAGTTCTGACTTCACATATTTGCGCTCTGTCTCCTTTAATAGATATTTTAATGAGGAGGCATGATCTGAAAATTTTGTTAGGTTTTCATTTAGTTTTGCTAAAACAGCCATCTCTTCATCTCGTAATTGCCTAAGAACAGTCTCCTGCTGATTTTGGAGAAACAACCTAAGTTGCTCAAATTCAGACTTTACTTCTTCTTTCCTATGTTTTACCTTTTTTTTCAGTTCCAGTGATTTTCTGGTTTGCATAGTTCCCACTTTTTCAAATAGTTCCACACTCTCCTTCCATGATGCAATGTAACACTCCAAATTTTTCTTATGAAAGGATGCAGCCTTTTCTATGGACCAAACACGGTGATGCTGGTGGTCAGTGGAGGAATTGCACTGCAGACATAAAATCTCCAGGTCATTCTCACAGAAAAAGGTCAGAACCTGATTGTGCTTCTCACATACAAGATTCTCTTCCTGCTGCTTCCTCTTGCTTCTTCTTAGCTGGAGTAGCTTAGCAATCTCAGTCAAATTACCCAGCTGTTGATTGCTTATGAATTTCCTTTCTGGACAGCAAAAGTGGCAAACAGGACAGGAGAAACTATTATTGAGATCCTTCCAGGACATACTGATGCAGGGGCGACAGAAGTTATGCCCACAGCTGATGGTCACTGGGTCTTTCAAGTAGTCCAGACAGATGGGACAGCTAGCCTCTGCTCGCAGGTCTTCCAGGGCTGTCACAGTCTCCATTGAGCTGGTGGTGGGTAAGGTAATGCTTCTTTTAGTAAAGCCTGGTTCTCTAGAGCTCAAGATCCAGTAGGCAGTGGCTATCTTTCCCCAGACCTTGAAAGCTGGCCAGCTTTTGGTTTTGCTGACTTGATGTGTTGATGACAGTCTCTAAAACCTTTAGCTCTGTGCCCTTAGCTCCAGAGTCTGCTGCCAACACTGCTTCGCAGCCTGTAGCCTATTGAATATTAGAACATATTAGCTGGGCTGCTGCTCTTTCCACTCAATGATTTTAAGTCAAGCCTAATCATTTTCTTATTGAAGAAAGCAGCCTCAGAACCAAGATAAGGAATCTTTCCTATGGGAGAGAAAAGACATTAAGTTAAAAAACCTGATTCCAAATGTATTAAAACATTCACACAAGAATCATCAATGGGCCAGGCGCGGTGGCTCACGCCTGTAATCCTAGCACTCTGGGAGGCCGAGGCGGGCGGATTGTTTGAGCTCAGGAGTTCG